TGTTCTTACCACTGCTCTAAACCTTAGACAGTTTATAATAATTGAAGACAATATATATATATATACATCATCAAGGGTGGGATCTAGCCCATAATATAGCCTCCATTAATTTTAGTCAATATTATTAATAAGCAACAGATAAATAACAGTGCTTGGTAAATGATGTATTAACATATGATTATGACTGTGTTTCTTCTTTTGCTTTTAAAGTCAGCATTTGGTAATGAACTTCCTACCAAGAGATTTGCAAATATTTATTGAGCTGTCTTGTGGCGGGCACTTTGCTCACCACTGTGGATCTGGTAGTGTGTGAAATGGGCAGTCTCTGCTTTCACAAATTCACAATGCACAGGCTGCTGGACTGGATGAAAGCTGAGGAGAATGATCTCTTCCAGGGGTCAAAAGACCATCCATAAAGCCTACCTATATGCTACCAAGAATGATAGCAGAGCTGAGCAAGGGCAAGTCAACGAGAAGAAGCTCAGGTTATTCACTTTCCAATTTAAAAATATTTTTGCCCCAATACAGAAAGACAAATACTGTATCATCTCACCTATATGTGGAATCTCAAAAAATTGAACTTATAGAAACAGCACCACAGAATAGTGGTGGCCAAGGGCATGAAGGAAATGGAGAGATGTTTGTCAAAAAGCACAAACTTCACATCATAAGATGAACAGGTTCTGGGGACCTAATATACAGAATGGGTGGTGATGAATATTGTAATTAATTAGATGGTGGTAATCATTGTACAATGTATATTATGTCTTACCGTCACATTGCATGCTTTGAATATATTCAATCTTCATTGGTTGGGACATATTTTAAAGTAAAAAATATTTAAATTAAAGAAAACTTTTTCAAATTTCATAGACCTCCTTGCATCACTTCCATTTTCATTCAAGCTGTGCACCACTCAGCTTTCCCAGAAGTTTTGCATTTCTAAGTTTAATTCTGGGCTCTCTGGATCAAAGCGCTAGTGTCTCTCTCAAGTGATCCTATTTTGAGGTCTATCTTTCTGTCTAGGATCCTAGTCTATGATTTAAAAACAGCAACCAACTAAAAAAGTCTTTTCAAGACACCATTATTATAGCTAATCACTAATTATGTATTTTTCCCCATTTATCCAGCAGCTTCTTTTTTATGTCAGATAGATTCCAAAAGCTAAATCTGTCCTCTGGCAGGAGAACTATTATGCTGTTTATTGCCTCTTATTCCTTGTGTTATTCTGTCCCTAATTATGCTGTCCAGGAGGGATTCTATCACATGAGGGGCTGTTACCAAGAGCTCAAATACATGTTGCAGCTGTTTATTTGCAAATACAGAATGTGATGAACACATGGTACAGAGAGATAGTTACGTTTTTATGTTAGTACCTTCTCATTGACATGAGATTGTTCGCTATCCTTTCTCCTTTTTTTTTTTTGCAGTTTTTGGCCAGGCCAGGTTTGAACCCACCACCTCCAATATATGGGGCCGGCGCCCTACTCCTTTGAGCCACAGGCGCCGCTCTATCCTTTTCCCTTTTCAATTCTGCATGTAAAATAAATAGCCTTGTTTTCCTTTTCTAACAAACTCCACTGCAGTAGAAATAACTGAAATATCACCAAGAGTCTCAGTTAGCCAAAGCATCACAGCGCATATAGCTCAAGCTTTCAGCAGTAAAAGTGGCATTAATCAACAGCCAAATGAGCAAGCATTAAGTTCTTCCCACATGCTGGGCCCCGCCCTGGAGACTTAACATATAGTATCTCATTTATTGTCCATCACAACCCCATGACACATGTCCACATTGCTATCTATGCTCATGATAAGGTTCCTCATGGCATACACGTGATTTAAACCCAAACCTGCCTTATTCTCCCTCCCCCCATGTCATCCTGAGCATAAGGGACAAGAGGAAAGTGAGATGACAGAAGGGGGGAAGAGTGGACAGAGAGAAGGGAGGGGGAGGAGGGAGTGGAACACCTTCTATTTTTAAAAATTTTTATTATATGTTGGCAAATTATAGTGGTATAAATTTATGGGGTACAAATTATAGTCGTGTAAATTTATGGGGCACAAAGTGTCTTTTTGATACAATGTGGAAAGATTAAATGAAGCTAATCAACATATCCATCACCTAAAATATTTAAGATTTCTTCATGATAGACACATTAGATGTTTACTCTCTTGGTGATACTGAAATGAATAGAACTCAATTATTAACTGTAGTCACCATGCTGTGTAATCACTCTAAAAAAATCAAACTTTCCTCCTGAGCTCTATATCTTTTACCTATCACATCCCTATTTCCCTCAGCTCACTCCCTCTGTAAACACCTACTCTCTGCTTCTTAAGTTCCACTGTTTTCTGTTCCACGTGTAGGTATACGTGAGGACATGAGTTATTTGTCTTTCTGTGTTTAGCTTATTTTCTGTTATCAAAATTTTCTCCAGTTCCAGCCATGTTGTCACAGTGACAGAATTTCCTCCATTTTCAAGGCAGAATAGTATTCCATAGTTTCTACGTTATACATTTTATTCATCATTTATTCCACAAATGTCCACTGAGAAAGGCCTCCCAGATCAGGTGCCTTCTGAGCGGGACTGTAAGCAAAGTGTGGGTGTTCTCAAGCAAAGGGGGAAAGTTATAGCAGGCAGAATCAAAGCAGGGCAACAGTGCAGAGGTGTGGCAGATGGAAAGATGCTCGGGGAATTGAGTACTTCAGCAGCTACGGAAGAGGATGCGTGGGGAAAACTGGGAGAGAGACAAGCAGAAGAGCAGGATCTTTGTCAGCTACTTTGACAGCATGTTAGGATCGGGTATTAGAAAAGGAGCAAGGAGGGAAATGGTGTTGCACTGAGGAGGGGGAGGGGCAGGGGAGAGATGAAAGGCGGGGCAGCCAGCATAAGCGACCACTCTGTGTAGTATGACATGGAGGTTATCATAAACCATCAGTCATGTGAATTGCTTTCTCTGGTGCTGTTTATTATGACGCGTGGATTGTGATAATCTTTCCCCCCTTTTTTTTTTGTTTGAGACAGAGTCTCACTATGTCACCCTTGCTAGAGTGCTGTGGCATCACACCTCACAGAAACCTCAAACTCTTAGGTTTCAATGATTCTTTAGCCTCAGCCTCCCCAAGCAGCTGAGACTACAGGTGCCCGCCACAACGCACAGCTATTTTTTTTATGATAGTTGTCATTGTTTAGCAGGCCCAGGCTGGGTTCAAACCCGCCAGCCTTGGTGCATGTGGCAGGCGCCGTAACCACTGTGCTACAGGCATCAAGTCACGATTGTGATAATCTTGATGAAAAGAAGAGTGACAGATACAAAAGGAAGGCTGTCCCTTAATCATAGCTTTAGGGTCTTAGGAAATGAAAGGACAGCCCGAGAGAATCAGAAACACGGGTAGAGAGGGAGGGAAGGCTTTTCTGAGCTGGAGACAGCTGCTGAAGTAGGAGGCAGGTGGCACAGAGACAGTTGGGCTATTCAGTTGTACTATAGGCATCCCTGGGCCAGGCTATCTGGCAAATGGTGGAAGGACAGCATAAGACAAGATGATGGCATTAGTATTCTGTCTTAAAGAGCAATTAGGTGGGCTCGACACCTATAGCTCAACCGGCTAAGGCGCCAGCCACGTACACCTAAGGTGGCGGGTTCGAATCTCCAGCCCGGACCCGCCAAACAACAATGACGGCTGCAACCAAAAAATAGCC